AATCCTATGGTTAAAGTCTTCTCTTGGATCTGTAGGGGTGCAAAGCATTCCAAATTTATGTCTAGTTTTAAGTTGTACAAAGAGAACCATAAGCTTGATATTTCCTGCATTATGGAGCCCAAAATTAGTGGCGATGAGGCCATTGGTGTCATCAAGTCCCTTGGATATGATTCCTGGGAGGTCTCTGATGCAACTGGTTTTAGTGGGGGGATTTGGGTCCTCTAGAATGAGTATAGTATGAAAATGGAAATCCTAGATAGAAATAAGCAACTGCTACATCTTAAATGCTCAATTGGTGGTATTGCAAGGTTCATGCTTACTCTAGTGTATGTCAGCCCCAATGATCACGATAGAGAGGGATTGTGGGATCGTCTTAGGACTATTGAAAGAGGTGTTAACCTTCCTTGGCTCCTTCAACTCCATTGCACGTTAATGGGAGAAACAAGGAGGTTGCTTTCAATTTTGTTAAGACTCGAGCATTCAACAAATGCATTGGGGATTGTGAATTGGTTGACTTGGGCTATACATGACCAAATTTCACCTGGTTCACCAAAGCCTCTCGACTGAAGGAGAGATTGGACAGAAGTCTGTGTAACATTGAATGGCAACATAAGTTCCCTAAGACAACAGTATTCCACCTCCCTAAGCTCAAATCGGATCACGGGCCTATCCTCACCAATACAATGGATCACAAACGACAACAGAACCATGTAGAAGATTCCAGTTTCTGGCCTCATGGCTTGCTCATTATAATTTCATCCCTTTTCTTTCCTTTTCCAGGATTGTTGGATGTGAGTTTCCTTACTCCTTGCAGAAGTTCAAGCAAGAGCTGCAAAAATGGAATAAAGACGTGTATGGGAACATCTTCAAGAGGAAGAAACAACTTCTCGGTGAACTTAAAGCTTTGGAAATTCTCAACGGAAGAAGACCCACTACCAGATCGCTTGAAAAGGAGCAAAGTACAAGAGAAGAAAAAGAACAAACTCTCTGGCAGGAAGAGCTCTTGTGGATCCAAAAATCTAGAACAAACAGGGTTGTCAGAGGTGACTGAATACACGTTATTTCCACAACATTACTATCAGTAGAAGGAAAAGAAATAAGATCAGCTACCTGAAGGATGACCAGGGGCAATGGATTGATGATGAAACTGCACTTCAAGAGCTGGCCAGGGAGTATTTCTTCAATATTTTCACTTCAAATTTAGCTAGGGATGTTCATTGTGTGCCTGCGAACTTTCATGAGATCTGTGATGATTTGCTTAGACTAGGGGATAAACCTAATGTGGACATGGTTAAAGTTGTGATCATGGACATGAATGGACTCAAGGCCCCTGGAAAAGGTCGCTTCCAAGCCATCTTTTACTCGAAAATGGTGGAATTCCATTGGAAAAGACTTCTCTCTTTTCATCTTGTCCTGTTTCTGCAGTCCCTATAGGATTCAATCATTGAATGGAACCCTCCTTGCTCTGATTACCAAAGTTGAAAGCCCCTCTTCTATGAACTAGTTTAGGCCTATTAGTCTTTGTAATGTGAGTTATGAGGTGGTAGCTAAAATCCTTGCAAACAAACTGAAACCCCTTATGCATCTCCTGGTCCACAAAAACCAGTCTAGCTTCATCCCCAATAGACACATTACTGACAATATTATAATTCTGCAGGAAACAATGCATTCCATGGCTAGAAAAAATGGAAAGAAGGGACACATGCTTCTCAAGATAGATTTGGCCAAAGCATATGACATACTTGAATGGGATTTTTTGGAAGAAACACTGAAAGCTGCTAGGCTCCCTACCAGCTTCATCACTATGGTTATACAGTGTGTCACTACCACCAACTTTCAAGTTCTGTAGAATGGGAGTGAAACTGAGAGCTTCAGGCCTTCGCGTGGACTTAGACAAGGATGTTCCCTCTCTCCTTATCTCTTTACTCTTTCTATGAAAAGGCTTAGCCACTGTATTTTGAATGAGGTAAAAAAAAAGGGAAACTAGAAACCCTACAGGCTATCTCCAGGAGGACCAGCCCTCTCACATCTTTTTCGTTGATGATCTTGTGCTCTTTGCTAAGGCCAATCCTAAGCATGATGATACTGTCTTGGACTGTTTGAATCATTTTTGTCTGGCCTAAGGGGAAATGGTCAGTAAAGAAAAGTCAAGGGTTTTCTTCTGTAAGAACGTCCAAAACTAAAATAGGAAGGAGATCTGTAGTAGACTTGGAATCCAAGCCACTAAGCATCTTGGTAGATACTTAGGAGTCCCAGTTTTACATGGTCGTCTTACTATTAATACGTATAAATACATCATTGATAGGATTGACCAAAAACTGTCTACTTGGAAAGCCAAAAATCTGTCTCTTGCAGGCAGGGTCACTCTTGCCATGTTTGTTCTTAATGCCCTTCCTTCTTACGCTATGCAAACGACCCGTTTGTCCCTCTCTCTGTGTGAAACTATCGATAGGAAAGTTAGAGGATTTGTTTGGGTTTCTTTGAATGGCAAGAAAAAGACTCATTTGGTCTCCTGGGAAAACATTTGTAAACCTAAAGATCAACGGGGGTTGGGGTTAAAGTCAGCCCGTAATATGAATTTGGCCTTCATGATCAAACTGGGCTGGCATATGTTAAACAAAGAGTCTGACTTGTGGGTTCGAATTTTGCAGGGGAAGTACTTTAAGCAGGAAAAATGGGGAGATTAAAGGAATGAAGAAGAGTAGCCATTCCAATCTATGGAAAAGTCATTGTCAAAGGCATGAGACTGATGAAGAAAGCCACGTGCTAGAGCACCAGAAATGGCAAGACAACGAGTTTCTGGTGCCAACCATGGCTAGATAATGGAGTATACTTAGAGGATTTCTGCCTCACTGATCTCGCGGAGGATGACAAGAACTCTTTTGTTGCTGAATGGACAACTGAGGAATGTGAGTGGGAATGGGAGAGACTCAAACATGTCCTATCTTATTAAATTGTGGTTTCTATTGTAGGAATGGTTGCCCCAAAATCTGACCTGGGTGACAACACGAAAATTTGGGGACTGGAGAAGGATGGACAATTCATACTAAAATCTGCCTATGGACTTGCTGCTGATGATCAGGAGGCTGAACCAAATAGCAAATGGAAGAAACTCTGGAGATGGAAGGGCCCTAACAGAATCAAGCACTTTTTCTAGCTTGTCTTCCATGATAGACTCTCCACCAACAAAGAAAGGGCCAAAAGAAAGCTAACACAAGACAGCTCATGCCACCACTGCCAGGAGCCTGAGGAAACAATTGAACACATCATCCACAACTGCAAGAAAGCCATGAGCATTTGGGAGAAAATGCATAACAAAATTGCAGAGAAAAATGGCAGCCTGCCGTTTCATGATTGGTTGCTTGCTAACCTGCAAAATGAGGAAACATGCAGAATCAAGCACTTTTTTTTGCTTGTCTTCCATGATAGACTCTGCACCAACAAAGAAAGGACCAAAAGAAAGCTAACACAAGACAGCTCATGCCACCACTGCCAGGAGCCTGAGGAAACAAGTGAACACATCATCCGCAACTACAAGAAAGCCAGGAGCATCTGGGAGAAAATGCATAACAAAATTGAAGAGAAAAATGGCAGCTTGCCGTTTCATGATTGGTTTCTTGTTAACCTACAGAATGAGGAAACATGAGTTGATTTTGGAATCGTCTGCTAGCACCTATGGAAGCAAAGGAACGAGGAGACCATTGATGGGAAACTCTACATTAAAGAAGGGTTTGTGTCGAGAATTCAATCCTGGTTCAGAATTGTTTGCCAAGCAAAGAAGATGTACAGACGACGTCAAGGGTCACGAGAATGATTCCCACTTCCACTCATATTGGCTGGCAACCCCCTGCAGAGGGATGGATTCAGCTGCAAACTGATGGTTCTGTCTTAACACAATAAGGAGGAGCAGCTGCAGGGGGGCTCCTTCGAGATCACCTCGGGAACTACTATGAAGCCTTCACCTGCAATCTTGGGAGATGCTTTATCCCAACAGTTGAACTTAAGGGCGCAGCAGAGGGACTGAAAATTGCTAGGGACTAGGGCTATCGGAAGGTGAACCTGAAGATGAACTCTATCACAGCAATCGACGTCATTAAGAACATTGACAATGAAGACCACAGACATGGTAGCATTGCTCAACAGTTTAATCGCCTTCTCAATCTCGAATGGGAAGTTTCGGTGAAACACGTGTACAGAGAGGTAAATTTTGCAGCTGATTACTTGGCGAATCTTGGCCATGATTTTCATTTTGGTACACACAATCTCAATGTTAGAGATTCTGGTTTAGTTAATGGCTTCGCAATGATGTAATGGGTGTTTTCCATGAACGTTTTATTAATATGAGTTAGACGCTCTTGCGTCGATCTTTCTACATAAAAAACGTGCTAATTAGATAAGTGTCCACAAACCGAGAACTAAAACTCATATATAAATGTTCGACTTGTATTTGTCTAACACTTCGAGAATAGTATGAAATTAACTTGCAAATATATTAATTTTAGTGATTTGACCATCAACATGATATAGTACCACAAATAATTTGATTTTTCCACGTGGCTGTTGTTTTGTTTTTGGGAGTGAGCCAGTGAGGCGTCATTACTCATTAGCTACTTTAGTTGTACTTGACTTGAGAGTTTGTTTAGCAACAATTTTCAGCCATTTGTCTAACTTTTCTGCATCATTTATTTGTTTATTAATAATATTATCCTTACTGTTTCATGTACAGAATTTTTATCGTTTCCTGTCACCTCCCGTTACATCCAAAGCTTCGATTTTTTTTCCTTTTCTATGAATAAAGCTTCCATTTCCTTTTTACAAATTAAACAAATGAAAGAAAATAATATTAAATCGAATAAAAAAAAAAAAAGAAAAGGAAACGGCAGCCACAGCGAGGACGAACGATGGAGTAGTCATCCGCATTCCATTCACCTGTGCTGATGATCTTCTTTTCTCCCAAAAATAAAAATATATATATAAAAGCCTTTTCCCCCCTTCAATGGCTTCCCCAAATTCATTCTCCCTCCCTTCCCTCTTTAATTAACTCTTCTTCCCTCTCTTTCTCTCTGTGCCTCTCGTTCCTCTACGTTTCCTTCCTTTTTCCTCCATTTCTTCCCTGTTTTCCGTTTAGATTCGCGCGAGAGGGAGGGGATTCTACGCACAGATTACGCGCAAGGCAAAGAGCCAGCAGCAGCAGGAGGAGAAGAAGAAGAAGAAGAGGGAAAATGGCATCCAACATAGGGATGATGGACGGCGCATACTTCGTCGGCAGGAATGAGATATTGACTTGGATCAACAATTGCCTTCAGCTCAACCTCTCCCGCATTGAAGAGGTCCTCCTCTTTCTTCTTCCTTGTCCTTCTTATTCTTCTATTTTACGGCGTTGTCGGCGGGGATCAGGTTTAGCGAATGGGGAATGGCTCTTCGTTTGCTGCTTTTTTTTTTTTTTTTTTTTTTTTTGCTTTTGGCTTTTACGGCTTAGCTTCCGTTTGCAGGGAATTTGAATTTCTGTGCTTCCAGCTGATGCTCGTTAGAACAGTAGTTTCATATTCTTCAATGGCGCAGTGAATATTGTATATTTGATTGAAGTTCGGCCTTCAGTTTTATGTTGCTTGTTTGGAGTCTAAATTAGCTAGACTCCGCAGCGTGAGAAAGAAATTTGTGTAGATTGAAGGCGGTATGCGTGATGTTTCGGTCGGATTTCCATCTGAAGTTCGTCAATGTTTTCCAGGGGATTGGGACGATGATGTAGATTTTTCTCTCGTTCATGATTCTGGCCTTCTATCCTTCGTTTGGTTGACGGTTTCTTCATGTATATGCAGGCTGCGTCTGGTGCAGTTCAATGCCAGATGATGGACATGACTCATCCAGGAGTTGTCCCAATGCACAAGGTGGTGACAAGACTATGATTTTTTTTCGCATCATTGTGTCATTTGATGCCTAAACTTTACCAATTCATGGATTGCATTTCTATGCAAGCTTAACTTTTGATGATAACATTGGTTCGGTTGTAGGTCAATTTTGATGCCAAGTCAGAATATGACTACATCCAAAACTACAAAGTTCTACAGGATGTATTCAACAAGTTAAAGATTGATAAGGTATCACTTTCTGATTTATAGCTTTTTGTTTCTGCGTACTGTCATCATTGTGGACCTTCTTGGAGTTGTGTCATATTGTGGTTTGAGCTCGTGATTACTTGGTGGGATCAACTTTATGCCTTTGGAACTACATGGTTTTCCAACTTGACTTTGTTGGTTTTAACAGTAGAATTCCAGAACCAATAATGCTTACTGCATTGGGGAAGGTATATCTCGTCTTGCTACCAATTAAAGTATGATCGCATAGTGAAGTTATTTAAGGGGATAAAAGAAGGGAAATAATCAGAGCCCTTGTGGGTTGTGGCAGCTAGCAAACTCATGCCATATCTACCCGATGGATATGGTTGTTTTACTAGTTGGCAGTTGCGATCAGCTATAGCCTGTAAAATGTCTTGTCACTGAAATCTCTACCTTCTTTTGCCTACATGGGCAGCATATCGAAGTGAACAAGCTTGTCAAGGCAAGGCCATTGGACAATTTGGAGTTCTTACAATGGCTGAAGAGATACTGTGATTCTGTTAATGGTGGCATTATGAATGAGTATGCTACCTTTCCCATCCATGACTGTCTTCTATTCAATTCTATGCTTTTCTTGACTGCTAGAGCCTTGCACCTGATGAATGTTCTTTAATACTTGCAAATGCTGTTGCTTTTCAGGAACTATAATCCGATTGAAAGGAGATGCAAGGGTGGGAAAGAGCGGGTTAAGGGTTCTATAAAGGCTTCAAAATCATTGCAATCAAATAATACCCATCATCACTCTGCTACAGTTGACTCAGGTGGAATGCATAAAACTTTCAGCAGCATGCACCCCCAAACTAGCTTCCTTCCCCTATTTCCAGCATTTTTGTTCACCTTGAAACCATATTACTTCATTGCAGGGCCAAAGCCAAGTCGGGCAAGTACTGGGTCAGGTGGGGGGAATCATTCTTCAGTAGATATTCAGGCGCTGTCCAATGAGGCACTAACTAAATCCCTTCTTGTTGTCTTGAACTAAAAAGAGAATGCATGCTCCACTCCCTGGCATTCAGATTTGCATTTTTGAACGTTGGCTCATTTGTTGAGTGCAGATTACGGATTTGAAGCTCTCGGTAGACCTTCTGGAGAAAGAGAGAGACTTTTACTTTGCGAAGCTACGCGATATAGAGATACTTTGTCAGATCCAGGAGTTGGAGGATCTTCCGGTAAGGGAGAAGCATATTTCCTTATAAACCAGAGGAAGACGGCTCTTTGACCACATGGACATTGTTGTATTTTTGAATGTAGGTGGCAGTTGCAATCAAGAAGATACTATATGCAGCTGATGCCAAGGAGTCTGCACTGGAGGAAGCTCAGGAGTATCTGGCTGAAGCTTTGAATGCTGGTGAAGATGAAGGAGAGGAAGCCTGAGCTTGGTTGAGCTCTTGAGCTAGCGTAGGTGCTTTCAGGGAAGTCTTTTCCATTCCACCACCCTTCCAAAAACAAAAGATGCTTTCAGGGAAGTGAAAACGGAGGCGTTTAAACTCGATGGTCACTGCCCTCGTTGATCATGCTTCAATGAAGAAATTCGTGAAGAGACTGTGCTCTGGTAATGGTCAATGATCAAGTAGTGTCAACTGGATGTGGAAGGATACCAATCTTCTTTGTTTCTATAATATACCTCCTGGCCCGGCTTGTTCCTCCGATGTTTGTTCTGTGTTGTTGAAAGAGGTTTGTATTAGATGGCGCCTGTTAGTTTTCCTTTTTGGGAAGTTAAAGAGTGCAGATATTTGGAATTTAAGGTAACCCTAACACTAGGCTCAATTAAGCCATGGATGGAGTATTGGGCCTTCGTTTCAACTGTAATGTTGGTTTTGATATATTTCTTGTAGGTGATCCTTGATTTTGTTGGGCAAATTGGCACAAGAGTACATTTGGCTTCTTAGTGGAGCAGACAAAGTTCCATTAGCAAATCAACATAAACCGTTCTCCACACATAATACTAGTTAGTCTACGAGGTCGGTACACTATTTAAGGAAATCATTGAAGAAATGCCGATATATAGACAATCACAATATAGAATAAGCTGATCTGAGAACGAGACGGGTCAAGACGGGTTGGATAGAATAGAAGACTTTTGTGAGGCCATGACAAGCAAGTATGAGAAGATGCAAAGCCTGCATTCTTAGTCGAGTTATGTGCAAGGTTCAAATACAAAAGAAAGCAAGGGGGATTTCTATCATACACCAAAACAGTTTGCTGCTAATTACTCTCTACTACAACAAAACACCACGTTTACACAGTGATTTTAGAAACCTAATAAGCTGGACTATAGCTAGACAACAGCTCCCGTGGTCTGGGTACTAAGCAGTGCGAAAATGGGACGATCAATATCGGTACTCGTCTTCAGCCTGGCCGAATATCGAGTAACCAGTGGTGCTCCTGGATTTATCCTGCAAAAACCACCCCCCAAAAAACATGCGTCAAAAAGACTCCCAACATACAGTGGAGGATTGAAGGTATAAACCCTACTAAGAAACTATGCACTCCACGAGTTAGTCTGAATGTATGGCTGCTGTATGCATGAGAGGTAGCAGTACATGAATGGCATTACATACCCTGTGGATAAGAGTCTCAAATGCCTCGGTGCCATTCTCTTGGATGTATTTCTCAGCAGCAGTCAGAACGTCATCTTTCTCGGTGAAGACGTCCTTCTTCCTTGGCACATACCATATGTTGATGGTTTTTTGTGGGTTGAGGAAGAGAGGCCTCAGAAAGTGTTCGTAGACATAAGCAGCGCCGCTGAAGTATGGTAGCACCAACCAGCAAGTGAAAATGAGCTTTGCATACGACCAGATAGGTATCCTGCCGGTCATCCATAAACAAATCTATCAGAAGGCTGAAATATAGAGAGCAATAAATAACCGTAATTCACTATCTGATCATCATGATCATAGAAGAATGGATATGATTTCCGTAACCATAACTTGTAGGGGAGCTGAGAAGCACAACCATATACAAGAACTACTGCGAGGAATACATAACCAAGAGTTCCATACTTCAGTCAAGTTATGTTACTCTATTATGACATATATAGTGAAAAATGAGCCGAGGTATAAAGACAAGAAGAAATTGAGTCACCATTCAATAACCCTTGCAAAGGTGAGCTCCAAGAGTGTGATCATGGAGTAGAGAACCCAATAGGTGAGCCACTGGCGATCATCATTCTGGGACTTGGTCTCTATTGCCCGGATCGAGGCATACCTGATCCATAAAACCAAATTCATAAGCTACCCATTGACAGTTTCATACAGGAATAGAGTGGCGAAATTTAGACATGTTCAGCATCAATCAACATCTATCCAAAATCCAAATCCAGCCCATGAAAGAACGATTCTGACTTCCCAAATACCATAGGAATCGAGATTCACAAGAAAAGGAAAGAATTAGCGATGACTTACAGAGGATAAACGAGACTGACGACAGGCCTGCAACAAATCCAACCAAAATTCGTCAAATGGGGTTCCACTTTCTTGTTTGGAATCAAAACCTAGTGAAGTAACGCTCTGAGCTTTTTTCTAGTAATCGAATGAACCCGGGCAGCAAAACAGTAAATGGAGAAGAAGAGGAAGCATACCCAGCAAGAACATCGAAGTTCTTGAGAAGAACCTTGAGGAAGCTTCCAGCTCCAGATCCCATAGCAGCTAGTAGATGTGGGTTTGCGTTGCAAATGTTGGGGTTCCTTGAAGCAGAGTGGAATATATGAGAAATCTCCGGTCTTTGCTTCCTATCTGCGCTCTCTTAGCTCACAGCCGCACTCGGGGTTTTGTCGCGATCGCCGACGCAGGTGCTATGGCCCTTTGGCTGTACGGCTGGCTGAATGGCTATTCGGCGTGTCGGGAAGCAGCAGTGGACAGGTGGGGTGAGGAGTGAGACTGAAAGAGTGGGCTAGTGAAGATGGTTTGATGGAGAAATCTAGGCGGAGGCGAAGTTTAGTTAAGCAGCTCAAAGGGGAACTAAAGTACAAAAAGGTCCTCAATTTTAACCTCTGTTGACACTGCAGCTCCAAACATTTTACCAAAATAATGGTCCAAGTCTCCAAGAAGATTAGCGATTAGGTAAAAGGGGGCTTTTTCCTACCTATCTTTCTACCTATTCAATTATTAACTCAATGCTAAATGGACATCACAATAGTTTGGTAGGAGATGTGAGGAAGTAGCATTGTCAAAAATATACGTAATTGTGGATATCCGTCCGAATCCGGCCTAATTGGGTAGGGTAAAACTCGAACCCGAAGAATATTTAGTGGGTACGGGTAAAACCCGAACCTGAATATTGCGGGTAATGGATGGGCATGAGTTTCTCACTATACAACTCAAACCCGCCCAATTATACACATGCATATGTATTTTGCAGTGTTATTAAAGCCGAGCCGAGCCGCTCGGCCTGACCGGTAAAACCGCCACCCGGTCACAAAACCGGCTCGGAACAGTCTAAAAGCCGCTCCGGTTTATGTAGCGGTTGGCGAGCGGCCGAGGCGGTTAACCGTTCGAGCCGATCGAGCCGCTCGTCCGGTTTTGCCATTCAGCCACTAAATTTAATTAAAAAAATTGTAGAAAATTGAAAATTGAAATAAACCAAAATCGTCGGGCTCTCAAATTGAATCCTTCTTTCCATTTCACAATTTCGAAGGAAAGAGATGAGCTCTGATTAAGAAATGTCCACTATTTATACTGATAACGTTTATTAGATACCGGTTCTCTAACGGTTTTTAAACGGTCTAATGCCGGTTGGACCGCTAAAGTGCGAGCCGTTAGCATTATCGGGTCATACTCCGGTTCGGTTCTCACAACATTGGTATTTTGTCTAGAAATAATCATTATTTTTTCTCTAACATATTTTATATTTAGCATATAAATATAATATTTTCATTAAATTGTGTTGTTTTAATTAATTTTCCTCATTCTAGTGAATTATTGTCGTACTTTTCCTCTTACGCAATGTAAGAATACGTGTGAATGTTAACATATTGGTTGGAGTTATGAATAGAAATTATTACCCATGGATACCCGAAACCCGAACGGGTATTGACTTGGTTTTGATTTTCTACCAGTTTTACAAGTGGGCATGAATAACACCTGAACTATTTTGAATAGAAGTAACAGATATGCACTATCCACCCCAACCCGACCCATTGTCATCCCTAAAGTAGCATTACAATCGTACCTATGGCGTGGATCTTTGTTGTTATTTACTGCCATGATACTTTTATAAATAATGTTATTGCACGTAACAAACGAATGAAAGGGGTAGCGTCACAAAATAGCCATTTATAAATAGTGTAATCGCACATAATGAGTGAACGAAATAGGGATGGCAATGGGTCGGGGGCGGATAGTGCATATCCATTACCCTACCCAGAGTAGTTCGGATTTTACCCATACCCATATCCACATAAGAAACGGGTAGAAAATCGAAACCATCCCCATAGCCGTTCGGGTTTCGAGTATCCACGGTTATCCATGGGTAATAGTTTCTCTTTATAAATTCAACCAATATGTTAATATTCATATGTATTCTCACATTACGTAAGACAAAAAGGATGACAATAATACACTAGGATGAAGAAAATTCATTAAAACAACACAATTTCATGAAAAAATTATATTTATATGCTAAATATAAAATATATTAGAGAAAAATAATGATTATTTCTAGACAAAATACATATGCATGTGTATATCGGGCGGGTTCGGGTTGGATAGTGAGAAAACCATGCCCACCCATTACCCGCAATATTCGGGTTCGGGTTTTACCCGTACCCACTAAAAGTCATTCGGGTTCGGGTTTTACCCACCCGACAAGGTCGGATTCGGGCGGATATCCACGGTTACGGATATTTTTGCCATCCCTAGAACGAAAGCAAATTGTATATAGGCAAAATACAGATGTATATCCACAACTATAATGTTTGTGACAAATATATCCACAACTATCGAAATACACGAAATATCCATTTCCGTCCACTCCGTTAACTTCGTCAGTTAACTTGATGACTGGACAGACGGTGGATGCTTAGTTGGTGTGTTTGTGACCCCACTGAATGACGTGGATTAAAAGAGAAAAAATTAAAAACCCTAAAAACCACAAAACGAGTATTGACCTTCCATTTCTCAACTTCGATCCGTCTTCTCCCCTTTCCTTAATCTCTCCGTTTTTCGACCACGACAGAGGGCGAGACTAAAAATTCAACCCATAAACACGCCCGATAACCACCGATCCTCCTCTGATCGACGCCTCCACCCCCCAAATAACCCTACCCAAGCTAAGATTTTGATTCCAACCACAATCCTCAACCATCGCGTCCCTTTTACTCCGATGGCTTCCATGTAGTCGGCGCCATGGTGATACCAAGCTTGAATCTCAAACAAAATAAGATTGAACTAACCAAATCGCCAACAGAGAAGACTGCAGTAGTGAGGTCTAACAGATAACAGTGAAGGTAGTTGAATCCCAAACTCGATGCCGCCTCCGCTCCCGGATTTCACTTCGACCACGTCACCAGAGCGGGGAATGACAGTCCCAATCTTTCGCGAGAGCAACAACGCTGGATTTGAAATCGTTCGCTCCGCTCTTCGAATTCCTCGTCGCTGGATCTCCTGTAGCGGTGGGGAGCTCCCGCCCCAGACCTGGCGACGGAGGATCTGGGTACGGAGCCGTTTTGGGGGCAAAAGGGGAGGTGATTTTGGCGTCGGCCGTCGGGGAAGAGGCGACGAGGAGGAGTTGGGAGCCGAGATGGAGGTGGTCACAGGTTCTTGGAATATGCAGAGGTTGCTAACAGAGAACAGAAACAAAAATATGGATTTGCCCAAACCCACATCTCACCTCTGCAAGAACATTCAGGTATGCGTAATGGGTCACGACCTGCATGAGTGCCTAAGCAGCGAGGTTCGATTTTGATTTCAAAACAAAGATGAACCCTAATTTTTTAGTTTGGGGAAATGGGTGACGATAATAGCCATTTATAAATCTGATAATTGTGGATATACAACTGTATTTTGCCTTGTATGTACTTTGTGCACGTAATAGTCATTTATAAATAATGTCATCGCACAACGAAATGCCAAATGGGATATACTTAGTACACATAATAGCCATTCACTTTCGTGACCAAAGTTCCGGTTAAAATCAATCGGGCATCGTTAAAATCAAATCTCAACAGGCCAGAACAGCAATAGTAATTAGGTAAGGTCCAGAATGGAAGGAACAAGGGGATCGAATTTCAGCAGGTTAGAACGGAATGGGTAATTAGGTAAGGACCAGAATGCAAAGAACAAATGGCTTCTCTAGTTATTATCTTGCGGTATATATCAATGTTTTGTACCAACCATTTAACTTTCACAATGTGGCTGAGCTCAAGAACTGTCGCCATCGACAAGATTGCAGATCCTGTGAAAACTACACTGCAGCTCCTATGCTGGAGCCTGGAAACCATCTTCAAGTTTCAGTCTAATAACTAGTAAGCACTAAACTGGATGGAATGAAATGGGAAGAAATGTAACATCTTTAATCCCACAATTTCCCAAGGATTCATTTCCTTCTCTAAAAATAGCAACTTTGTTTAGTTCAACAGAGGACGTTCAAGCTCTAGCAGACAATCAACACATGCCAAGTTAACACAGAAGCATCTACAAGTAGGAAGAGGGGATGTGAATGAGGTCCTTTGTACAGCTAAAGGGAGGTCAATATTCAATTATTCCCGAGGATTACACGTATTGTCATGGCTATCTCCTACTTGAACTTCTCTTCTACCTAGAAGCTGGGACGGCCAAGAATCAGCCGTTGTTGGATATCTGGGGTGCGGTTTGCTCACATTCGATTTGTTGATGGTTTGAAACGATGAGAGATCAGGATGGATAGGGACCACAAACACTGCCGGTGGTTGCTGCAATGAGCCATCTATGGCAGGGTGTCCTGAAAAGTGGGGTGCTAGAGCTGCTGCTGTTATCTCTGCCTGCTGATACTCCACAGGCGGAATGTTCAAATCGGGTTTGGATTGGGCCAACCGAGTTTGTACCTCGCTCCTCAACTTCTCTATCTGGTTTTCGAGTACAGAGTTCTCTTCTTTGAGCTCATTCTTCTCAACAGTTACCTGGATCAATAGGAGAAAGAAGTCATCACTAATGGGAAAGAATTGACACATTTGACAGGAAAGCAAGAAGCTTCCCTCACATTTTAGGGGGGAAGTTCAAATACACGAGGGGACTTACATAATGAGATTCAGACAGCAAAGACATATTTTCCTTCTTCAGCGCATCAATTTGTACAACCAGGTCCTTCAAAAGCCGAGCAGCTTCGTTTAAAATCGAGGCTTTGCCATTGTTTGGTTGCTCCAATTCTAATTAAGAAAGAAAAAGGCATTGTTCTTGGTTAGAGATCCAGAACAGAAACTATGCTTGCCTTCCAAATCCAATACAACTGATGTGAGACATGGTGAACCATCATCAATAGAAGGGCAGTGTGGAGAAATTACCAAGAGCATCAGCCAGGTCGAGAAAGAGATCATTCAATTGCTCACGCTTCAGTTTCTCTCTCTCAGCTTTGTGAACCCTTCTGGGAACTTTTGCCTTGTTCCTGCCCGTACGAGACCTGTTAAATTGAAGGATTCAATTCACTCCAAAATGAAAAACAGCTAGACGACTTGCGTTCATGGAATCCCACGAGGGAAATCAGGCAAATCAATTCACGATAATGCACCCCAGTTTCCCCCAGAGCTTGGTGAAACAACTGTACGAGTATTAAAAACGAAAGCACCCAACCCCATTCAGACCAAAGCTTGCAGTATATGGTGCCGGATGGACCAACATTGATAGTCTTTACAAACCCATTTCACTCAACCCACAACAGAGAAAGGAAAGCTGAATAATTTGGAGTTTCCGAATTCTAAAGATTGAGGAAATCAGAATCCCGAAAAGAACACAAAATCTAAAGAGATCTTACCCTTTTTCAGTAGCTACTTCCGCTGTTCCATCGACCGCATCATGAACATCAGCAGCATCAGAATCCATCCTCTCCCCCATCGAAATGAATCGAATATCTGCCAACCAAAAAGAGCCAAGTCAAAATCCAGTGAAAAATCAAAACAGCAACTGTATGTGTAGGAAATAAAAGGGTTCCAATTAGTGGAATCTATTCATCAAAAAACATTCCCTCTTACAACTCCAAATCCTCCTATGACTCTCACAAGCACGAAGGAGTCGCCATATCCATTGTTGTTCTGGACGGAAACAGAAACCCTAATATACTAGAGGGCGAAAATTTTACCTGAGGAGATAATAGAATAGAGCAGCAGGAATCGGAATTTGATTGAGGGAAGGAATGGTGTTTGAACTTTGAAGTAGAAAAGGAGAGGGAGGCTGGGAGAGTGGGAGGTGTGGGTTTTGTTTTGGGGAAGAAGAGGAAGGAAGGAGACGGAGCGGCGGAGGAGAGGTGGTGGCGTGTGGCGTGTGGCGGGAGAGACGACAAGGAAAGCAAGCAGTGCGCGTGGTGAGCAGATGCCGTGGCGGTTCATTCAACTCTGGTGCGCGAGCCTACCACGTGCTTTCCTCACGCCTTTTCTTCTTGTTTTTTTTTTTTTACTGCCTTCCTCGTTTTTTCACCTTTGCCACGTGTCTCGTCTGAATTTCGGCCACCTCAGCTTCCCACTAGGGTTCTTACTTCTTACTTTTCTTCCGATGGATAAGACGAGTGAGAACAATTTCCACCCAAGGTTGTCAACCGTGGTTCACTCGGATTGACCCGAACCAGGTTAGGAAAAAGAGTGTGACATATCTACGGGTAGTAATGGCAATGGGCGGGACTGGGCGGGTACCTCAATACTCATGTCCAGTCCCTCGCTAGTGCAAGTCTGGACGAATAAAATTTGTGCGGGTACCGGGTAAGGCAGGTCGATCCACTTTTACGTGTTATTTGAAAAAGATACACCCAATTTTTACTTTTTACGATAAAACATATTGGAAAACACTTTAAACATGAAAAAAAGTGATAATAGATTGGGTAATTGAGTCTAACAAGTTAAAAAATCGACTCTAACTAGTTAAAGTCAAAATAGGAGAAGTATGTATATATATTGTAAGAAATTGAGATAGAATGAGTAAAAAACAGGGAGGGACAGGACATGACAGATCGGAAGTAGACACTCATGTCCCGCCCCACGCTACTGCGGGTTGGGTAATACCTGCCCTATCAATGGCCAAATAGAGCGTAATACCCGCGGGGCGGGTTCAAATTGCCATCACTATCTACGGGTCGACCCAAAGCAAGATTTTAGAATTGGAAGTCATACAATGTCGTTTTTTATTTTGTTTTGCGAAGTACGCCTCTTTTCTGGTTTTCCTCTTCACCTAACTTTATTTTTGGAATTATAAGTTGAACATTTGAATATTGATATCATATGAGTGTGTTTGAATTTTAACTATATATTGAATTCTAGTACAAACTGTTATTTTGGTGTTATATTATATGTTATTACTAAAATATTATATGAGATTTGATATAATTAATAAATGTATGGACAATATAATTACTTTTTTAATATTTCTAGACTAGTTCGGTCGAACTATCAACTCTCAACCCACTTACTCGATCGGACCATCAAGTAAACTAGATTGAGAACCTTGTTTTTTCCCCCTAAAATCCACACGCTTGTAGTCTTAGATGGTTGCCTGAATTCCTCGCAATGGGAAAAGTTACAAGAATAATTTATCCGAATTGTAGATTGTTAAGAATAATTGATCTGATTCTTCGTTTATTTTATGAGATATTTTTATTTTTAGTATGGCTTTGTTCATACTGTTGTTTATGGGACAATATCGTAGATCAAATCCACTTCCAATTTATGTTAACGACCAACTCAACCATTCTTCTCTCGTTCTTCCGTCCAGGGTTTACCGCCGACTCCATTATGGTGACTGGTGGCTAGGGATGGCAATGGGTCGGGTTGGGTCGGGTTTTGCCAAATCCTAACCCAAACCCATGTGTTTATCCGTGAAAAAAACCCGGGGTAAAACCCACTGGGTTTGAAAAACTCAAACCCAACCCGCTGGGTATCCGCGGGTTCATGGGTACCCACGGGTTTTTGTCGTAAAAAATTTACAATAACAACTTCCTATCAAAATTAAAGTCAAATATCAATCTCTCAATACAAATTATCCATATTTAAAACACCATTCTAGAAAATTCAAGCAAATCACAAATTAACTATACAAATTGTTCAACACCAATCTAGAAAACTCAAGAAAATTGAAGTAAATCATAAATAACATGATTAATTGAAGGCTTCTTCCTTTCAATTAAGTTTCTTCACTCTCCACTCGATAACACAAACTTCATTCTACACAATTAGAAAGAAAAAATTAGACATGTCTCCACAAACATAAATAAGATTAGTTGTTTAAAATATTAAATATACCGAGAAAATTAATTATATGTGTGGGCGGGTACCCACGGGTCGGGTTTACCAAAACCCAAACCCAACCCAACCCGGTGAATAGTGAACGGGTTTAAACCCAAACCCGACCCAAAACCCGTCAACACGGATTTTACCCGCGTTGACCGGGTTGGGTCTGGTGGGTACCCGTGGGTTCGGGTTTGGTTGCCATCCCTACTGGTGGCAGCCAGAGCCTCCTTTAATTTATTTTTCTTGTATTTCCTCACTCGTGCTCCTTTTGCTTTTGTTCTAGGCTTTCCCATGAATTTTAGTCTATGATTTTCTGTTTCGGGGTTCTACTTGTATATCTTTAAATCTAGAGTTAACAGCTTGGGAGCCTCTTTCCGATCATGCACTGCAATAAATTTGGCCTATTATGACAAGACAATTTTGTCATATTAGATATTCATTTTGTCATATTAGCTATAATATGACAAAAGGTGTTGTCATAAAGGTTTGTCATTTTATCGCCGTCAGGATAGGTAAAATGAGACAAAAATTAAAATAAGGTTGTCACATTTGCTTTCAACATATCCGAGGTTTTGGGTAGTCTATTGTGGCAAACAAAGATGTTATGACGTCATGTTTTGGGTATATTTTTCCGTTCAATTTATTTTTTCAGATTCATTTTAGTATATTTCACAATTTAATTTTCTGGAAGACTTTTTTTAGCTATTCTCAATTTATTTTTTGGTCAAGATCTAAACGTCACCTCTTCAAAACCAAGATTTTGCATTCGGCCAAGATTTACTAAATTACCAATCCCCAATTTTATATCCACATCCAAACTCCTGATTGGCCATTTAAAAACCCTAATTCTAATCATTAATTTGAAGAATAGTACCCAAAGCTTCTTCAATCCAAAACCTGGAAAAAAAACCAAGTCAGAATTAGTAAACAGAATAAAAAAGAGTAAGAAAAATCTTAAATCAATCTCGCCACTTTCCTCTCTTGCATCTATGTCACCGTGGCCAAACTGATTGCGGCCAGTGAAGCCTCATTCCTTCTGACACTTCGTCTCTCTCCAGAATCAAAACCCAATATCAAAACAAGAAAAAAAAATTCAACAAGATTAACCCTAAAATTAAAATACCCTTACCAGGCCAAAGAGAAAGGTAGATAAAAATATCTGGCGAGTAGTGAGTTTCGTCTGTAGCTGTACAACACCATCTGTCGCCACCACATCGTTAGATTCGTCGGTCACTGCAAGGAGTTTGTCGTAGCCGCGCCGCCGCTGTTCTTGAGGAGATCTCGTCATGTCGTTGCTATTCTAAAGGAAATATAGAATCGTGAGCAGGTTGATAGTAGAGAGGTGGAATCGGAATGAACTAGAAAAGAAGAGAAGCAGATCGACAGTTATAGTTGATACGGAGAGGAAAACCATATATGAGTTTTGATTTTTTGATTTTTCCCTAGATGAGGTAGGCCTGCCTTCAGGGGCGGAGCCAGGATTTAATCATCGCGGCGCGGGGGGGGGGGGGGGGGGGGGTTCTTAATACGTTACAGTAAAAGAGGAAAAACTAGTAATACAAATTATTTAAAAAAACGTATTATTATTATTAAAACTCAAAACTTTTTCACAATAAGTTCACTACAAATTAAAAAAATATAATGACAATAGTCGAATTAGCTAATAACTAGCTTCCAAAAAAGAGAGGAGAAGGCTACTGCTTACAAAAAAGACAAAAAAAAAAAAATGCTCACCAGTGATCATTGGGTCACTCTACATTGCCAATCAATTCCGCTAGGCCAATTCAAAATTTATGTTATAATCTGCACGCTTTTTAATTTTATTCAATACTTTCTTGTTTATACATATTATGCTAAACCGTTTACAGGTAAGTTCGAGATTCTCGGGGTCGGGGGGGGGGGGGGGCACCCTTAGGGCCAACGTAGCTCCGTCCCTGCCTGCCTTGGGGCTCGGAAGAATCACAGTAGAGAGGGAGGTGAGAAGATGAAGAAGCAAAGGGTAATGGATGGATGAACCAAAAAGATGAATTGGAGCTAGAAATTGAGAATTGGGATTTCCTTATAAGAAAAGATCAGCGGTGGAGATTGGGAAATGAGAGGATTGTGTGGGGTATAAGGGTTTATGTGGAATGTGAGTGCTAAGTGAGAGGTGAGAGAGGTCTTTTTTACTTTTTAGTTTTTTACTTAATTTTGTTTCAAACGACAACTTTTTTAGGGAGGGAATTAAACCACTTTCGTACTCTTGTATTTAGTTAATTAATATAATCTGCCAATTTAGCAATGAGTACTCTTAATACAAAATTAAAAAATCCTTAGGTTAGATTAATTCGGTTCAATTGCAGGGGGAAATTTCGACAGGCTTGGGGAAATTTTTTGGGCAAGACTAAAAGTTGGGCGGGGAAAATAATGTGTCGCTTGGACCAATTGGCTTCAGTCTAACACCAGGTTTCAGTCTAACACAAGCAAATCTGACGAAAATGTCTTTTGTAAACAATGAAACAACTATATTATGACGAACATGCCTTTTGTCAAAGCCGAAACTACTATATTATGACAAACACGCCCTTTTGTCAACTTGCTGTGGAATTATTGCTATATATTCTCACAAAATATTTTTTCCTTTAAACAATTCGGGAATGCATAATATGACAAAAGCTACTCTGACAATATAAATTGTCACTTTTGTGTCTCTTACATCCCGATATAGGATGCCTATTTTGACAAACTTAAGTGTGACTTGAAATATTGGTCACATTACTAACTTTAAATGAAGAACTATTCTGACAACAAGAAATTTGTCACTGTTGAGTCTCTTACATCCCGATATGGGATGCCTATTTTGATAAAGTTAATTGTGACACGAAATATTTGTCACATTACTCACTTTAAATGACGACTTATTCTGACAATTTTTTTTGTCATATTAGGCATACCAAATAGGACATATATTTTTTTTTTGTCATATCACTGTACCTGTAGTGATAGCGGCGATTTGTTTCCCAAGCTAGTGGTTTCATGTTAGAAACCTTGATATTTGGGGATAGATAAAGAAAAGAATTTAGAGATCGAGATAAAGAATTAGTGTT